ATTGCGTAATTGCTTTTCTGTGCTGCCTATTTATGTGTCTCCGCACCCACATTGGAATTGAGTTGGCCTACAGACGTGGGTGTTCTCTAACCGGAGGGAAGGGTATACTCCTTGTCCTATGCACAATTCTGGTTGTGACTGCGTAATAAGTCCAGTTGACAACCGATCGTAACCGTTGATGGACTAGACTTGTTACAACATCCTTTTTGAATGGGAGACAAATCGTGATCTCCAATCGACAGGTGTTGATCAAACTCGTGCAACATCATTCTCATTTTAGAAATACATTTCAGTCTCCAATANTCCAATATCATACTTGTATATTGATGGCTATTGATAAATTATATTTATTCCTGATCTAATCTTCCACATCAATGTCATTAGTTCTCTTCTATCACCGTTTGAATTAGCGTGACCTTGAGCGTTGCGATAAAATTTGTAGTAGCTCGAACGTTACGGCTCAGATTGGGAAAATATTTAAGCGAAGCAGCATAAGAATTCATTCTTTTTACTAAATGAGTCCTGTTCCATGACAGTGTTTATCAAGTTGAGCCCATGTATTCTAAATTGCTTGTCTCTTTTCATTCAGTGCACAGTAAACAAGCAAATTAATGAAAATGTTCTAACTTAAAGAAATTGACAAATTATTTGGCTACAAAATACTCACGCATTATCTACAATACTGAAAGAACTAAAACCCTAGCCCAAGAAACATACAAAATGATCTTCAAAAGTGGACCTTGAGGTGTGGCTCTTTGAATAAGCGTTATGTTACCATACTCAAATTGGATGAAACATTCGAACGTTTTCGGCATACAGGGCGGTGGTGGCCCGGTGGTAATGTCACCAAATTACCACCTCGGGGGACGTGTGTTCGAACCCCACCACCACCGCCTGACTTTCCCCAGGGCAGCCCTTTGATTGGGCGCTTCTCCCTTCCTGAAAATTTTATCATTGTGTATTCAATAAATGGAAGTAAAAATTAAAAAAAGAAGACAATCATTGTCGAATTGGGTAAGTGAGCCTAACGGGTAGAAGCTTGTGGGACTGATATTTGGAAAAACCCCATTTCTCTTACCTGCATTTCACTTAATTGATCCAAAAAGTCATCCAGTTCAATTGCTAAACCCTGTTCCCGCCGGTCTTGTTCTTTAGAAGCCTTGGCAATCGCAACCAGTTTTCGATGGGATTTGAAGTATTCTTCCACGAGAACATTTAACCGGTCCAATATGTTGTTATCATCCTGCTCTTCAGTGATTGCGTTGTTCGATGTGTCCCTGACAATGTCTTTACATACCTGATCTGCCGGATCTGCCGCGTTTGGAACAGGGCGATTTGTTCCAGCCAGATGATCATCCGTGTGATCCAGTTTATCGATTTTTGCCAAAGCGGAGAACACTGTTCGCATTATTCTGTTCCGGAGACGCTCATACTGAACACAAATTGATGGCATACACATAAGAACGAAGGAATCAATGATCAACAGAAGACCATCTTTAAGAAAAGACAGGAGAGATCATGTAACTTTGCAAGTGATCGTCTCTGTCGCACATACAGCATTAAAATCTGCCTTCTGGTTTTTTTTATCCAAATGAGCAGTCTTAAGATAGCAACCGAAACCGTTACACAAAGATGCGATTTGAACGGTTGTAAAAACTAAACTGAACTCAACCCTTCAATAGCGGAATTTTCTTAAATTTACCTCAGTAACATATATATATATATATTTAATCGCAGTTCACGTCCTCGCCGCCTTCTCCACTAAAGTCAACGACAAAAACCAAACTGTTGTCATTTATAGTGATTAAATTCCGAGATTGCCTAACTGGACTGCAATTTTCATGCGATGCTCTAACTGTCTCACTTATCGCGTTCCTTAATTTGCCTGTTGAGATATGCACATTTTCTCTGTCATGCAACGATATGTAGTGTCTGTCAAAAGTCAATTGGGAGTACTAAAGTTTGTACAGATTGCTGATATTTTGATCATTATGCTCTGAAATTAAACCCCTGCAGCTGTTTGGTGAACATCTACAAACCCTTGACATGAGCCCAGGTGACAGTCTGTCTGATCTGGAAGATTTGAGTGATGATACAGCAAGCGCTTTTCCTTCAAAGTGTATAACGCTGGTACACATCTGGGTTAGTCCAGTTCTTAAATTGGGAAAGCGTTGCGGTTTGACAGCTACATCTCTCACCTGGTGGTCACATTGGAAATGAGCTCCTTAATAGTTTGTGGCTCGCCGTTCAGACAATTCCTAACTGGGAGGCAAACTCTTCTGAGTAAGGAAATGTTTTTCTGCTCAGCGAAAAAGCGATAGAACACGAGTCGTGACAGTTCCCGGGTAAGCATGTTTTCTTGATACGACAGAAGTGTTTGAGGATGGCTTCGCGATGCAGAAACGGTGACCCGCCACTAATAAGTTCGTCGCCCTCCACTTTCCCTGCATCCAGTCAACAACGCTTTCTAGATGATGCAAATGAGCCAAACTATTATCCAACAGGCTGTCTGGAACAACTCTCCTAACTCACAGGTTGCACTTGGATGTGCAATGGTTACATCGGTCTGTAGTACGAAGAAGTGCGGATAATTTCTGACATTTGCCAAAAGTCACTTTATATCCACAGTCTGTCTGCATATTCACAGTGAAGCTCCATCACCAACGCAAGGTGATATTTACTTAACACAAATTATTTATTTCCGCGGAAACGTACACTTTCGTATTCGTTCGATTCAATGTTACTGCGCTCGTTTGTTACAACCCAAACTTTCCTAGTTTATGCTGATTTTGACTTAGTTGCACGGCAATTACGGGATCCTATGCGAAATCCTTTACAATTCGCCGTATTGGACGCATTCCAGGTCCAAACCCAAAAGGAAAGACTAGTGGATTTAGTTTATTCCGGGAAATATCGGTAGATTACTGTGGTCCGTAGAACCGACTATTTCCCTAGCAGATGATGGTCATGCCAAAAGTAAAGGCCAGAAGTATTTACCTGACTGGTGACCTCTTTTTTCTCCAACAGAGCTGTTCTTTCGGATCGTTGTAATTCGTCCAGTTGCGCTTTGGTTTCTCTCAGGATTTTTTCCATCGATTGTTGTTGTGCTTTGCTCTCTATCAGATCGTTCTGCAGGGCAGCACGTTCGTTTTCGGATTTGTCCAACTCTTCTCTGAGTCCTTGAGCACGCAATTCTGCCGTTTTGTACTTCTGGAACGAGGAAAATAACTAGCTCATTCAATATGCGCTCCGTGGACGACTATGTGAAAGTGGTAAAATAATTGTTCCCCTTTGGATTCACAAGTCATCATTGTTTTTCTGGTACGGTCATGAGAGCTAGCATCACTGCTCACAAGTTGTAAGATCGATCTTTTCCACTTTGCGCTTCTAATGCAATAAATCACAGCACATGGTTGTCTGAGATACACGAATATCTTTGATATTNGATATTATGACCGATGGTCATCTAGGAGAAGGATAGTCATTTGATAAAAGAGAGCTGTTCATGAACCAGACAGAGATAAGAGCCAAATCAGTGCATCATGAAATCATGTATCGACAAAATGGATTGATACGGTCAGCTGCTTGGCGGTCAAATGTGTATCACGGTTGGCGGTGTGTGTGTGTGGCACGCGGGGTGGGGTAGTGGTTCTTTCACCGGATGGTATTCAAAACAATAACGAAGTGAATTGCGCAATATTTCAGATAGAGGGCAGAGTTCATGCGTTTGCGAACAGAGAGGTAGTTACGTCACTGGATATCTGAACATATCCCAGAATGGTTTTGCTTAGTCATTTCACGTGATTGGTGAGGGGGGCTATTTCCCACTAAGTTGCTCATCTACAATAGGAGTTATGCGTTGCTTTGTTTGATAGGTGAAAAAGTGTAAACGTTATTTATAAAATGCAATGTCGTGGAATTCAAGTAATTAATTAATTAAATAATTACCTGGTAAATATTTGGCAGTTCCTTCGAAGTTGGACATTACAAATGTTCTAGTGTTAATTTGGAATAACTCTTTATAAACATCTGAGGAGTCAATTAGATGTAGATTAGTCATTAGAGCATTTCGGTTGAATTACATTATCCTAAGCCCCTTTACGGCGAATTTCATAGGCGATAAATGTGCTCACAGTTGAGAAAATCAGTTCATGCATTAAGCGGGCATATGCGTAACACCAGGAACTTCATCTGAACCGACCACTTACGCTTAGTCAGTAGATGAATTCAACTACCTGACTGATGGTATCGTTTTCCTGGCCTAGTTAATATTTGTCATGTTTTCCATATTTATTTTAGCAACTTTCTTTTCTTTTTCGTTATCCTCTTAATTTTATTTATGAGTCGATTAAATGGATGACCGAGACAATAACCGAACTCGAAAAACAGAAGCTCATGCTTATAGGTTTGGTGAAGGTTTGTGCACAAGCAATTTCTTCGGTTTTCATCCAGATTACTTGATTAACTGAGAAATTTCCTGTGTCTTAATGTTGCTTGATTAGTTGTCGGCGTTTTGCATTCCACCTCCAACGATTTCTCTACACTGTGGTTTTCGAACAGTCCAAGGAGTATTCAAATTCACTGGTAGAAGCATACTAATTTACGATAAGCAGGAAGGAGATTTTCGATTTAATCACTTTCAGTTCCTTGTTGATCTGAATTTTGGCTACCCGTGTCACGAATATGCTGGGAAAAGGTGGCAGTATCTCTCTGAATCTTTGGGGATCACGGCGTTTTGTTCGTTTTACCTTGCTGATCTGTTAGAGACCCTTTGCGGTAATCCGGGTCTACGAGATGACGCGTATCCCGGAAAAACGCGTTACAGTTTTTGGCCAACTGCGATCAATCAAATTTCATGGATGACGTCAACAACGCGCGTACCTGTCACTGCTTCTGACTGCGTGCCATGGTTAGATTGTACCAGCCAATCAGAGACCGTGCGACCCAGACAAAAGCAAAACGATGCCAGGAATACTGGAACGCGATTGGTAGAAGCCCGGATAACCAATGAGCCCACTTTGTACATATCATTCAATCTCCCTTATTTTTTTCAATAAGCGAAATACTACTCCTGTGATCTTTTCATCGCGTCTCATTTACTTGGGATTTTGCGTGTTAGTGCCAGTGTGGTTCAGTGCTTACGTAATCCATTCCGTGATTGCTAATCCTTGGTTCGTATTCCGTGATCCGTATTGCGTGATTCATGTTCGCAGTTACTACTATTGTTGTGAGATACTGCTCATTTGTGAGCAGTACGCAAAAAGATGCGACCAGCGGTTTCTTTGAATGGCCAAAAATGAACAAGGCTTGTTGGATCAAACTGTTGCTGTTTGGTACGATGAACACAAGAAGGCGCACCTGATAGCGGACCGTTACATTACATATCCCGTGTTTTTGCGGAAATTCTGCGACCGTGTTCCAGATGAGATATTTTGTTACATGAATGACAATTTAACCAAATCCTGACCGTTATTGGTAATAAAACAACTATCCCCGACCAGATCTGCCTGGTGGAATTATAACACTATTACTATTACTACTACTACAATCGCCCCACCCTTAACCCCCTCCCCCCCCCGAGGACCATTCGACTAATCTTTCCCGGTAGTTGCTTCCGTCCCTCATATTACGCATCATTCAGAATCCTTGCTGTTCAGTGGGTTTTCGTCCATTCAACCTCTCATGGTATTGATTTACCGAGAGCAACAGCCGGGGAACATCCTGTCGCAAATTCGCGTCAACTTTGCTGTGTTGCACGAGCCTGGCATACTTTTGCATTACGTTAACGAGGGAAACGGATAAATTGCTATAAAAATTCCAAAAGGTCGGGGGTTAAAGAAAAGCAGCCCGTTATCGAGCGTATGAATG